CCATCCACTTTGGGTTTAAGAAGAGACAAAGGGGCCATCCCAAGGCTACACAGGAAGCTGAGCTTTAAAAGCGCATTCCTCCGCCGTTCTTCACCCTTCCTTTCTTTTAAATCTTCCACCGTCTGCGCTCTCCTCATCTTCCATGGTCTCCGGCTCTCGTATAACGTAGTTTAAAACTTTAAAGGTGAGTAATCGCTCGTGTCACTGCTCGATCAAAGCGGCAACGGCGACGGCGGCAGCTATGAAATCGCAAAGGGATCGCATTCCGACTGCCCTGAAACTTTCTCCATTTTGAGTTAAAAGACTTGCAGCTTTGGTTTCCTCCTTTCACTCCTTGGTACCACTTCTGCTCAATCGTCATCAACAACTACACACATTACCTTTTACTTTTACGAATTGGATAATGAGAAAAAGCGGAAGAAACTATTTATACTGTTGAGGGGCTGTTAGATGGGAGCGCCGCTTTTTACTTTCTGTTCTTTTATCCGTTCGATATTTATTCTGAATAATACTTTGCGCACGTTTAGTTCCACAGTAATTTTTTAACCTCTTAACGATCGGTTTTGTAAGTACTATTTATGCTTATTTCAATTGATTGTTGTCGCCGTTTTTGTCAATATTGCCGTACTTTTACATACGAATGAAAGTACCTAATGTTGAATTGAGATAAGTTATGTGAACGACATAACTCTTTGAAAATTCTTAAAAATTAAGTCGTTATATCATCGCTTGTATTCCCATAAAATTAATATACCGCCTTTTCAATTTTATAAAACTTCTAGTCTCATAAATTTATTATGCTAGTTTTCATGTCGATGTAGCTGTGGCTTTTATTCAGCGCACTTAAAATAAAATGTTCTTCAAAACCATCAATGAGAGTGTTCAATAATTTCGAATTATATACCGATATTTTTCACGCCGATTTGGCAAAGCTCAGCTTCCAAAATCAATTGATAAAAGTAATGCGAAACATTCTTGTTCTCGTATTCCACGGCAAAGTTTAGTTGTATCGTCAAGTTTTATCACGTACACTTGGATATTCCGCGTGCGGAAGATCTCGTTTATAAGTAGATAACTCGTGGATGGAAACGCGGGAAAGTAGAAAGGGGGCACAAATCGTGCTTTCGCGAGGAGTGACAAGAAACGTCACATGCTTTGGAAGTCTGAAGCGGGGTTGGAGGTGTGTAAGAGGAGACCTTCGCATACCATTCTTGACACATAGTGCGTTGTACATGTCGGAGAGAAGGTGAAATATTGGCTGGAGCGAAAGAAACGAGTGCGTATCATCCAATCCACGAACAAACGGAGTTGGAGAAGAAACGCCGTTGGATAGATGAAAGAGAAAATTGGATGACGCAACTAAACTTTTCAACTGTCACGTGACTCGCGATTTTCTCTCTTTTTCGATTCTATCCTGTATCCTGCTACCCCTTTTTCGGGCGCCACGAGACTGAAAATGTAATTAACGAATGTGTACAGACAGATTTTGTGAAGCACCTCGTACACGGATGCATACGGTACAATATTTTGACGGATGTTTAAAAGCTCATAATGATATTTGGAATTTCAATGATTTATAATTAATATTGCAAGTTTTTTTATTTTATTTTATTATTTTTTAAAATTAATTTCATGTTTTATCGAAATGTTCTTAATTAAACAAATTTTTTCCTAGTTAATTTATAATGAAGTATAAACGAGTAGAGTAAATTTTAAACAGGGAATTCAGTGTGATGTTTTATATATGAATTTAGATAAAAGTACTATTCGTTTATTTGCGTGTTTATTTCATTATTGCTATATTTTATATTTTCTATATAAGAAAATCGATAAAATACTAGAAAGGTATTAGTTTCCCTATAGATAACAACAGTTTCTCCAAATTCTAATAATTTAAAAAATTCGAGTGAAACAATCACTATAAATAGCGTTCTTATGAATTTCAGAAAATATTAAATATATAATTAGTTGGAGTATATTATTGCGTATATCTGTAAGATCTAAGCAATAGGACAGGTGGCCATTTTAGGGATCGTTTGACATGTGATATTTTAATAAATAGTTTATAGCGAATGCTTCAATTTTCCATTGAACAAGATTTATAATATCGACACGTACAATGCGAATGTAATAAAAAGAATTTGTTAAGAATTTTTGATATTATGACATATTTACATTCTATCTCTTTATTTTTATTTTCAATTTATTATTATTATTATTATTCTTATTATTGCATTTATATAACGCTCATTATTTTTATATTAAAGTATATTATTATCATTAACTTTTTTTATAAAATTATTAAATTATTAAATTAAAAATTATAACTAGCGATTCTTAAGATTTTAAACAACTTACAATATTATATTCTTAATTATTTGTACTTGAATTTTTTTCGGAATGAGAGCCATTTTTGGAATGGAAAAATAACAATAAGAATAGCTTCCCATCTTTTCTTTAAGTCTTGGTAAAAGTTCATAACCTGATTGAATATACATTCCCTGGTCCTATCGGTAATTATATAATTGCATGTAAGATAAAATTATATAAAATACAACATTTTCAGAATAGGAAAATGTGAGATTTTTAATTTCCTCTTTCATATTAATTAACGTTATCTCACATACATTTCATTTTCGAAAGTGTTATTATTCATTAGCATTAGCACAAAAGTGAGAAACGGTATAGCTAGAAGAAAAAAAGAATACAAACAGATCCAATCACAACCTTCATTGTCATTCCCGGCTGGCCTCCTACCGTCAATCATCCGAGCGCAGGTGAAATCTCGTTATCTTACGCTCCTTGTCCCCGGAAATTGTGTTGATAATGTTACAAGAGAGGGGGCAGAGCGGCCTTTATCCATAGTAGCTTATATCAGCTTGCGAATCGATATCTCATTTCTTAGGCAAGCCGATGCGTATCTCATCATGTAACGGGATTCGACGTGAGTCTCTGTCGAAGAATCAACTGCACGTCATCCATGAGTATAATGCCAAAGTGAAAATTAAGCCTAAGGTGCTGTAGAGGAAGTGCCGGCGTCATGGATTTATACGTGAAATATGACATATTTGATTGGCCGATTTTATTTATACAAACTCGATAGGCTAAGATTATTTATATAAACTTTAGACTGATTTTCGTCTACGCTATTCCAATTTCGCAGTACTAATGGTTCATGGCTATATAGGGGTACAAGGCGAATATTTCAAGCAATTATTAATGAACATAGAGTTGTGGCTGCGTATGCGTGTACGTATTATGTCGATTTTATCCACTTGAATATTGAAATACTTATGTTCGTTTATATTTCATTAGTAATAATGTTATATGATTTTGCAATTGTTACAACTTTTTTTTATGTCAAACATATTAGAATGGTGCAGGTCGAAAAACATAAACAACGAGGAGTCATTTATAAAATTGATCTAGAGTAAATTCATCGATGCTCTTTTAAAAAATGATGAGAAATTAAAGAAGTAACGATGAAAATTCTATTACACACCAATTTTTTCCTTGCTATTTTTATAAAGAGACGAGAATAAAAGAGTGAAATGCGAGAGAAAATACGCGAGCTTATATTTACGCCTATAGGAAAGTATGTTTCGAGTGAAGCTCTCGAGAGTCTGGCAGTACTATGCAGATTTCTGTTTGAACTGGTATTATTGGTAATTTCGTCATCCGAGGATCGAACGTTGCATGTCCAATGCACAGTACAAACTCTCGTGCGTACATCTACGAAGAAAAGCTCACGAATACACGTGCAGGCTGCTCAAGAAAAAGAATGAGCGCATTTCGAGCGCACGTCTTTGGCGCATTTCGTAAATAAATCAAATTACGACGCCATAAGATACTTATTTAACTAATCTTTCTAAATCATTAATATTAGCTCGATTATGCAGCAGCTAAAAAGGAAAGAACGACGCTTCTCCGTCGGATTTCTGAAAATTCAATTTCCAGCAGCACTAGTGACAATAAATAAAAAATATTCCGCGGCAGTAGTGCATTACTCTTGCACAAGCGCACGACTAGAATGTAATAAGTCCGCTGGGTCGCGCTAAAAACTCCCTCCGTATGATACGTGGCTCACTCTCCGGACGCGCAGGCACACACTCGCCCTCTTCCTCAGAGTCGCGGGTCGGAAAAAGTCGCGGAGCCCCTTGGCGCGTGTGAAATTTATCCCCTTGTGAGTCATCGTCCCTCCTCGAGTGGTGCGCAGGTTGCGCTTTTCCGGGCACCTTTTCTGTTGATTTTTCGACAGGGGCTTGGTTAATACGTCAGCGACGACGTTGTTTTAGCGCTGATCTGCTCTCTTGCGCCAAGCGCTCACCGAGTGGATTATTTTTACGAACTTCTCTACGAATAACAATCCATTCTAACTGAGATGAGTATGTGCTATCTCGCAGCTGCTCTCTTTCTTTAAAGCGTACTCTTTGGGTGATACGGATATTTACGGGGAGTAATTTTAAGCATTGCGTCCTTGCAATTTTTCATTGAATGCAAGCAAATATTTCGTATGTCCAGCCTCTTTAAATCAACATTTAATCGCAGAAGGATTTTTTTCTCTTATGGCTGGAGCTTGCACAACACTCACATTATTATCATTTTTTATCCTTAGAATAAGAATTTCTGGTTCAACAGTGATTGTATTGCAATCATAGTTAGGCATTTACAACGATATACATTGGAATATTCAAAGTTTTCATGATTTTCGATAAAATGTATTTTTGGCCATTTTTGGATTTAGTCAAAACCAATCCATCTTTTTATTATTTATTCAAATTTAATATCACAGGGCTCATTAGCTTATTCATAACTATTTCATTATTAAATAATATTAATGTATGAGTCTTGAAATTTTAAGTATAAAACACATGTTGTTTATGGCATACGAAATGTATATATAAATTTGATTGGAAAATGATTCTGTTGTCTTCGTTCATATTACGAACGAGAATTAAGTATTAAGAGTGGAAACGTTACAATTTTCGATAACCACTTACCGGCATAGTTTGGCTACCGTGCAGAGAATTGATCGCTCCTTGTGCTTCTTGGTGCGTTGAGAATTTAATAAATGCGCAACCTGCGAACATAAGCAAAAATATATTATTGTTAAATTTTGAATTAATAATAAGTTTCTTAGCGATTACGAAGTTAAAAATCTTTATTTATTAGGTTAGCCAATTTCATCCATTCCATTTATATATATTGCTTCATTTAATATATAATTTGAACGTTATTAATATTACCGTTCTTTCGCTATTTTAAGTGTTTAAAATTTCTGATTTAAATATAAATTCTCTTTATGTTGCCAATAATATACATTGAGACATGTATCGACAGTACTTTTATTATTGAAAAAACATTTTTCATCATTATGTAAGCAATTTTTTTTTGCGAATGATGAAAACTTATTGAAGGTTTTGTTTCTCCAAGGAAAATATTCACCTTCCAATATTTGATAAAAAATTTTCATTTGATGATATGAAATATAAATGCACGATGTAAGATTGTAGTAAAAATAACTTTACATGCGATGGTTGCAAATTTCTTTAAAATTCTTTTAGAACACTTAAACTTTTGGCCACATTGGCTTACATATTTTCCTTATGCGGACATATTATATAAAAGCATTTATATAAAAAAACAACAAAGATGCATATCGAACTTTGACAATATATTACATACTTTTCACTGCTGTTCAATTTACCAAATCAAGAACTACTCCTTCTTTTTTATCAACACATTACTTCCAAACTGATGAATAAGAATATAAAGTAACATCCCAAAAGGCGAAACCAATGTTTAGTTAATGATTAAAATTAGCACGATGAAAATAGCCGATAGTAAGAATAAAATAGGACATTGGACATGTAATTTTAAAACCAAATGAAATAACCAAAATTACGCACAAAATAATTCCCTTAAAAATTGCTAATAATGCAAAGGAAACAAGAAAACAGACTATTTTTACATGGGTTGAGGAAACGCCAAATGGTGCTATAGCGTTGGAGGCAATCGTCCTGGGATCTGCTCGCCTTTCGCCCGAATTCCCCTTGAGTCCATCATCTCCCGTTGCCATGCGATGCATTTAGACATCATCTATTTTTCACGGGGCGTTTGTTCGCACTTTCCACCCTGTGTCCGCACTGGCATACACCACTGCACAGCGTGTGTTTCATGGAGTTAAATGTATCTTAAGATAAGAATCGCTGATGCCTCCTATCGAAATTGCCGGGCTTACACTTTGTGCTGGGAGATTATGTATTATTACATATTCGTAATGGGAATAGACAGTTAAGGATAATTAGATTTTGATTTTAAATTTTATTAAAGTATTTTTTTTATTTTGTATGTGTATATATCAAATATCATTTTATGCGTAAGTAAGAAGCGATTTAAAACATGGCGCTTTCGAAGGCTTATCTAAGCATTATTAAAGAATTCGTTAATTATATAGACTGTTTGCCTTTAAATTTTGTTTCTGCTTTTTCATTTGGATAATTTGTCTTCTATTATATACTTGATGTTTCACGAAGTATTCTATATTTTGATGATGAGGTAAGTATCGTCCTCTAGCATTACATTTGTAGAGCAGCACAATACATTTTTTTTCCCCCAGGCCCATATTTTTTCTTGTGGTAAACGCATAGGCATTTATATCGGTCGCTTTATAATTTCCTTTCTATTGTTCAAAATTACGAATACGAATTTTATTTAAATTATTTATAATTGATTCTATTATAAAGCTATTACATGTCAGTTAGTACATAATTATCTGAGAAATCTATAAAACCGACTTCTTATCGTAATACGGGACGATTTGGATACAGGCGTCGACCCGAAGCTTGCTTAAATCCGCAGATTTTGAGGTAACAAGAAGGCTCAAAAGCTTTCTTGAAACATTAATTTATTATTATACAAAACAATATATTATACATACTTAAATTTATAGCTTTATCTATGCATTTCACATATGCGTGCGCGCGCGCGCATGAATTTTCGAATTGTCATATTTGTACGGGTGATGTGGGCGAATAATAAATTTTATTCGTGGTTTTAGAATTTACTTACCGGCTTACTTTACTAAAAATTTATTTAAATCCTCGTTTACATATGTAAATATTTCATTTCATATTATTCAATGATTCTATGTAAATTTATTTTATTGCTCATGTTTGTTATAATTTAATAAATTATTTAAAATATTTTGCTAATCAAAATTTCTAAAATTTATATACACATACTTTGTTCAGGTCTTTTAAATAATATTTCACATTTAATTTCGTAATAAATTATAAAAAATTCAACGAATAGCAAAATAATTCCATATATACTCGGTAAAATAATAAACTTTATTATTATAGCTGGAATAACTGTATATTTTATTTTTGATGAAATTCCAGTCTATGCATACATATTCTATTAAAAGCATTATGTATTTTAGTAAATTTTCGCATGCTTAACATTAAAAGTTGTTCTATTTAAATCATTTTCAATTATTTGCTCTACTAACTTTCGTGTCAAAAACTACTGCTTGATATGAATCCATGTGCTCACATAATAAATAAAATAACATTTTAATGCTGCAGATTTTAATTACAGAAGTATTCGCAAATGCGTAGTTCATTGTTTTCGAACGATATTCTTATAAGTATTCTTTCAGTGCGTATAACTCAAATTTTCTTTCTGGAATAATTTCTATTAAACTGCCGTAAAATTTCGCTCGCTGAAAGAACAAAGTGTTTTCGTGGTCGCTGTACCGAACTCAATTTGACGATAAGAGTTTCAATATTTTACGAAGGAGGCCCGATATTTTTTCCATCCAGTAGCTCTTTTTATATTTTAAAATAAATCCTCGACCCTCGAGCAGTTGCTGCATCACCGTAAGCGCCACACGAAGATGAGGCGTTGGTACGCGGGTGCGCGCTAATCAATACCCGGAGCTTTAAAAAACTACGGGCGAGAGGAACGTTAAGCAGATGGTGGCAATTGTAAAAGTGCGAGGAGGTCTCTGGATTCAGATGATCGTAAATCTTCGTTTGCCGTTATTGGTTGGAATGTATTGTTTTTCACCCTCTTGCGTTGTTAAGATCGAAGCTCCTTGGAGCTATGATTTATTGTTTTCGTTGGGATTTTCGGATATCTGTTACGCTAATGGCCGTAGTAAGGCAATGTCGAGATGACATATGAGCGACTCTTACTTATTTACGGCAAGAATAGTAAATTGTTAAAGCGAAAATGTGACTAATATTCTTATGTTAAAGGATTATCAGCAATCATAATCGCTTGTGAACCGTGATGTGAACTTGCGAAAAACCGTGTCATATATGGCTTGATAAATTATTTATATTTTTATATACTATATAGGTCTTATTATTATACTATATAGGTATTTTGGTATAGGTATTCTGTTTTTTTTATTTATTATTATTTTGAACATGAATTAAAATTTTTTATTTCATCTATCGATTATAACTAATTATATTTTGATTTCAAGAAGAAATAATATAAAAAATTATAATTAGTCGTTAAATTTACAATCCAAAGAATGCAATTTCTTAAAATTACTCGTTCAATATTCGCCATGAACGATTAATAATTGATCACGAAAAACTTTATTTTGATTAGGTAAATTACAAAATTCATTCATTATGATTATTTGTTCATTGACATTAAAATACACCGAAAGTTTCAATTAGACGATTCCTTAGCAAAAAAAAAAAGAATCGATATATCGAGTGCAGCCCCTTTGTATCTAATATCAAAAGAAACAATAGAAAAAACTCCGTTATTATCTGGGAATCAGTTAGTTGTTCACTTTCTGTAATAAATGTTAACTTACACATACATGCAAAGCGACGAGTGGTGTCCAATGGTTGTACATCTTTAAATCAGTTACTTCTCAAATTGCCCATGGAGCAGACCTCATGATCAATTTCAAATGAAATTTTCTTTGATATAGTTTCCCCTTACAAACGTATTTCATCGCTTTTTATTCTCTTGTATAATCTTTTTTTTTATTTTTTTTTTGTTTTTTAATTGTAGAGTTTGAAGAGAAAAGCGCAGGCGCTCGAGAGTTCGTTTGCTATCGACTTTGGCTTCCGGAATTCACGAGAGAGTAAAAAGGGATCGTTCCATCAGCGTTTGGCTCAATTAAAAATCTTTTGTTTCTAATAAATATTTAATTAAAAAATTTATTTTATTATTTTGGAATTTAAGCTTTTGATCTCTGCTCTTTCGATTCACAGGCTTTTCAAGTAAAGAATGAACAGGCTAAGTAATGTTCTGATTTTTAATGTTCGATAATAAACAAACTTTTCTTTTGCTATTGGATATACATTCGATATATTAACGCAATGGAAAATGCAGAGAAAAAAGAGGAAAAAATTGTTTTCACAATTTAAAAATAAAAATATTCACTCTAACAACATTAATATATAACTTCTTGGATAAAAAATACAAAACTTTTAAATCGAATTTTATCGAAGGGTTAAAGTACGGGCTAAGTTTCGAGAGTTTAAAAAGCCTTCTTTCGATTGAATCTGTGAAGAAAGTAATTTATGTAAATTATTTCTTAAAAAGGCAATTAGAAAGTTCGTAATTCCTTTAAATTGATCTGTTCTGAAGTGACCCCTTCTCTTTCTGCATTTACCATAGAAATTAGACTGATATACATTGCAAAGTCGACAGTAAGTGGTCAGATGCGCGGTTAAGTGAAAAAACGTGTCTTTGTTGTTAGCGTCAATTTCATTCATGAAAGAGTGAGAAAGAGAGAAAAAGGGAGAGGAAAAGCTTGTTTGCACTTTCTTAGCATAAGTAAGTCATTTTTCTTGATGATAAAAGAGAAGAACTGAAATCGAATTCACTTCTCAAATGTAATGCTCTATATAAATCATGAATTAATGATGAAGATTCGTTTTTTATTAAAGAATAAATTTTATACGATTTCTTAATGTTTATTAGAGAATAAAAATCGCATCTAATTTTCATTATTAAAATAAATGGAAATTAACTATCAATTAATTTCAAATAATTTAGAAGCAAACTTATTAAGGTGTAGATTAACTAAGTGTAGTGTAT